ACTACTCACTCATTTATCGTGTTAAAGCCTTGTACTACTCACTCATTTATCGTGTTAAAGCCTTGTACTACTCACTCATTTATCGTGTTAAAGCCTTGTACTACTCACTCATTTATCGTGTTCAAGCCTTGTACTACTCACTCATCTATCGTGTTAAAGCCTTGTACTACTCACTCATACAGCTTATCATTTTAAAGCTCACTACATTCTGCATTGTCTGATACGTAAACTATGAGTACATTTACGATAAGAGTATAGTTCGAGATTCGCTCACTCAAAATCAATCAGCCTTCTTAAAAAATCTAAAATCAGCCTTGAAAATCTAAAACCAGCCTTCATGAAAAATGTCAAATCAGCCTTGGTAAATTTTTTTTAAATCAGAGAAACGTAAAAGTGCATTTATCATGTCCCGAAAAGGGTAATATAATTGTGTCATGCTATTTCTATTTCTATCAAAGAGAAATCTATCTTAAACAGGGATAACAGTTTTTTTGGGTCTAATTTAAGATGACAATTTTTTTTTAAAAAGATGACGAGTTATGTTCTGACAGAGATGCATCGTAATCAAACGTGACAAATTATGTAACAACGATTATTATCAATGTTCTCATAGTGAAACAATAATAATATTATGTATATTGTTTGACCGGTACATTGTGATCTGAAGGTAAGAAATTGTGATGGAATAGGGACAAATTATGGCCTATTGCTGACAAATAATATTCTCACAGCAACAAATCATGTTATCACAGAAACTAATTATTTCTTATTGCTAACAAATTATGATAATAATAATAATAATTGCATTTATATAGTGCATATCCATGCTCAAGAGCATGCTCTATGCGCTTTACAACTATTATTACCCCAGCAGACCCTCTGAGAACACTCAGAAACATTCTCGGCTTCTGTGGAAGCATACAGTGCAAGCTGCGTATTTCACGCATTCAAACACTATCAAACTGACAAGATCGTTCACTGTCTATAGCCGGGTACCCATTTCCACCTGGGTGAAGTGAGGAAAATTTGTGCAAAGTGCCTTTCCCAAGGACACAACGTCGGGCCCCTGACGGGATTCGAACCCACGACCTTACGGTTGCGAGTCCGAGAGCCTAACCACTAGGCCACAGACACCACAAATTATGCTCTTATATAACAGTGAGAAATCATGTTATCACAAAAGACAAGTTATGTTTTATTGCTAAAAAATTATGCTCTTCTCAAATAATGAGAAAATATAATGTAACAGTTACAAATTATGTTGTATTGCTAACAAATCATGCTCTTATAATTGAGAGAAATTATGTTGTTACAGTAACAAATTATGCTCTTAAAATTGTGAGAAATTATGTTGTTACAGTGACAGGTTATGTCTTATTGCTGGCAAATTATATCATTGCAATGACGAAAAATCATGCCCTTTTCATCATAAATTATATTATTGTAACAGTAACAAATTATATGTGTATATATTCAAACAGTGACAAATTATATGTGTATATATTCAAACAGTGACAAATTAAGATCTAAAACCGACGAAAAATCTGTCAGAACAAAAGTACATCAGCACACACACACACACACACACACACACACACACACACACACACACACACACATTATGAAGACTACAGGAAAAAACGACGGTGGTCAAAAACTGAAAATCGTGAGGGTACCAATTTTGAACACTTGTTGACTCATAACTGTATTTCTGTTCAACTGTTGGTTGATTATTGTTGTTAGATTTACCATTTAACAACACTTTTAAACAATAAACCACCAGTCAAACAAATATGAAGTTATGAGTCCACAAGCTTTTAAAATTGGCATCCTCACAATTTCCAGTTTGTGACTACCGTCGTTTTCCCCCTGTGCTCTTCATATATATATATAAGGCAGCTCCAGCTGGAGTATATTTTAAAAAATCTGGACAAATTCAAAGCGTAGAGTTCTGCGTTTAAGAAAACAAAACAACATAAAATACATAATTATGTAATTGTAAAATAATTAATAAGTGAAGAGGGTCAAGTGAGAAACAAATTAAGTCACATGATTAATCCTATCATCTATATAACCTAATTGTGCGTTGCAAGTGCCGTAAAACACTTACAAAAACAAACATAATCCTACCACGACTTATCGCACAGTACTACGAGATTTTTTAATTAAATGTCGGAAATGGCTTCTTCTTAACTTAATTTGCGGTTGTTAAAATGCAGTTTGGGAATTATTTATATATAGGAAACAGTCGAACTAACATGGAGACCTCACATCGGTGAGGGGGCTCGGTGCGTCAGAAAAGCTGTAGAGAGGAAGACGCATTCTCTCCTGATGATCTCCATGCTAGAGTCCGGGATACGGAGCATTCGACGGTGAGCAGTGCATACGGCTGTTTAGACTACGTTTTGGTTTTTGGCTTCAGTTACTGCATCGTAGTATCCCCTACAGGTACTGATTTAAGTTAAGGGCTAGAACCCTGGTTTTAATTTTGTTTCGTACATTTTGTTTCATTTTGTCTTGTTTAGTTTTTTTTGTGTGTAAAAATGGACTTTTCCTATTTTTCACTTGACTCTTTCAATAAAATTGTTACAATTGTTGAGAACATTTTACACCACAATCCACACAATTTAAGGCCGTTAATGGCTGCCTGCTTCCACCCAGTTGTCAGGGCCTACCCTGGTTAGGAATGGGGTACAGCATCCCAGTAGACAGACAGACAGACAGACAGACAGACAGACAGACAGACAGACAGACAGACAGAAAGACAGACAGACAGACAGACAGGGCCTACCCTGGTTAGGGATGGGGCACACAGACAGACAGACAGACAGACAGACAGACAGACTATACTCAATTCTTTAAAAAAAATAATGTTGAACTTTCCCCTCGGGAATCCAACTCCAGACTTCTGACTGTGATGGCAACGGCCTCACCATTACTACACCCACACTGGCCGCTAACAGGTCAGTGATACAGCAGCAACAACAACAACAGCAACAGCAACAACAACAAGAGCAATAATATTAATAATAACAACAACAAGAGCAATTTTATTATAATAATAATAATAATAATAATAA